GGGCAGTTCTGTTTGACGATATATATATATCGTCAAACAGAACTGCCCGGTAAACCGTAGGCAGAGAGGGAGAAGAGGACAACAAACGAGAGGCTTCTCTGCCTACGGTTTACCGGGCAGTTCTGTTTGACGATATATATATATCGTCAAACAGAACTGCCCGGTAAACCGTAGGCAGAGAGGGAGAAGAGGACAACAAACGAGAGGCTGTGACAAACTGTTTCGTCGGAGGGAACCCCGACTCATCAGGAGGCTGAACCCTCAACAGTCTGCAGAATCCCCTCATTGATTACACTGTAAGTGATAATCCACCTTAACCAAAATCAAAGTAGACTATCACTCACCCACACCAGATGGAAAACTCTACAGACTGTCGGTTCACACCCCATCACAAGCCAGCAAAACACCCACGAAACAAAGAAAGGTCTATATATCGTCACAAACAGAGTATATATACATAGTCCAACAGAGTTTACGGAATATTGTATGCATTCGTGATATGTGATGACTGCGCATGTACTGTACTATGTGTGGATGGGACGGGACAGGATCTATTGCAAACAACTGCATGGTTCCGGGGCCTAGAAAAGGCGTGTGCATGGATGACATGTATGTGTTCTTACTTGGCGGACACATTCACATGGTAGGTGGCCGCATTCACATTGATGCGCGGTGTGGTGTGCTCCTGAGAGATTTGGCGATGGTAATAGAATTACTTTTAACTTTTAAGTCCTCCTTTTCATTTTCGCTTTGTTGGTGTACTGCTGAGAGATTTGGCGATCATGGTGATTGTACTTCGAGTCCTCCTTTTCATTTTCGGTTTGTTGGTGTATTGCAGTTCTCGTTCCTTCGGCAAGCACAAAGGTGAACGCAGCGTCCGGGGGCGCTGGACAAAGCCGGCCAGACGGAAACGTGGGCGGGCCATGGGTGAAGCAGGTACGTATGGTATGTGACCATCTGGCCAACTGTAGGATCGTCACACAGATAATCGGCAAGATCGAATGCGTTAGTGGATGTTGTGCATCGGAGGGTCTATAAGCCTATAAGGCTATACTTCTATATCTATACTATGCCTAATACTTTTCTCAGCCTGAGTTCTACTAACTGCTTTGTGGACGTAATTGCCGTTATTTGCATCCACGACGGGCCCGTAATTGCCGTCAGAGTCGGTCGGACACATCCATCAATTCCATTCCCACCAATTAAATTGTCTTCTCCATGTGGTGAGCACACTAAACACTAAGCAGCTTCCGCAAATTTTTTACAGGTCCCTCGCTCCGATGAGGGGCCAAAAAAAAACAAAAACAAAAAAAAAAAAAGTCTTCTCCTTGGTGTAGTCAGGAGGTGCTGTACAACTAAGGCTCTAATGGCATACTCACAGCAGGAGTTTTTTCAGCTGCTTTCTGTACTGCGTAATTCCCGTCACAGTCGCATACGTCCACGACAGGCGGCAGTTGCGGCCAGAGACATCCGGGATAACCTGTTGTGGGTATGCTCTGACAGACTCTGAGGTGAATCAGTTATAGCTTCTGGTGCTGTTGAGATGGAAAAAGCAAAAGGTAATTACTAATTACTAATTACTAATTAGTACTAAAATTAGTACTAATTCCTAATGAGTATTAACTGCTGCAATTATCAATTTTTTTAAAAAATGAAATCGCATCGAAGAGGAGTGAGGAGCTTCTGGTGCGACTCAAAAGACGAGTTCGCATCAAAGAGGAGTGAGGTTAAGGAGACTAGCTCAGTTGGTTCACCCATGAACCATTGAAATACAGACCCATGTTCAAATCCTGCTGGACCTTGACGAATGGAATAAATCAAGCTTCTGGATACTTTTATCTAATAATAT